ACCTCCTTCACTCTTCCTACCACTCCATCCCCCACAGCTATCTCCTCCTGTGCCACCACCCCCCCCTCCTAGATTATAAGCTTGAAAGAGCAGGGCCCTCAATCCCCTCATGTTTTGCATTGTATTGGTATTGTTCTGTCACATGTTCTGTCCCCCTTTGTAATGTACAGCGCTGAGCGAACTATTGGCGCTTTATAAATACCGTATAATAATAATATTCATGCTGCCACAATCAGCACTGCAAAATTCAGTGCAAAGAATTAATTATGGCTGCAGTTTAATTTAGTATTATTCTGTAACAATAAACTGCACTAATAGATTTGTCAAACATGTCACTATAGGTCATTAATGAACTGCTGTATGTCTAAGCATCACTGCATTGTTAAAATATACCTACTTTGACTATGAAGTTTGCACTTCACACCTCCCTCTACCACAGCCTGTGCCTTATTATTGGACATTAAATGTGAGGAGTAGCGTTAGATAACCACAGCGAGGGCTTGGGAGGTACTAAAGCACTAATATCCTTCATGAAGTTGATATTTGCTTAACTGAGGCACACAAGTTTCAGAGCTTTTGGGGAACTCCGATCAGAAAACACCCTAAAAGGTCCTTGCTACAAAGTCCAGGTTCCAGTTTATTTATATATACACATTTAGCCTAGGTTCCCATGTGTGCGGGTCATGCATAAGCACATTTTTTCTGACCTGCAGACAAACCATTCTGCTCTTATGCAGGTGTGCAGGGATGTCATTGGTTGTTAATGGCACCCCCTCGCATTGGAGAATGCAGCGCATTTTCAAGTGCGTGAAACCACACGGTGCCAAAAGCACTACACGTTTATAAAAAGGGTCAAGCACTTTCTCCCTAGAATTCCTGTAGATACAAATGAATAGGCTGCTGTCAAATGCAGCACACATGTGCCCACAACAGTGCGAATCCAGGGCAAGTTGGTTTTAGACGTAAAGAACTTTTATCCTTTGTGCAACAAAGAATGGCAGCACTTCTCTTCAAAAACTGCGCAGTGTATATAATGAATCCAAAACACATGAGGAAAACACTGGAGGAAAAACTAGATGCAACACCAATCAGCAGGGTGGATCATTTTTAAGTAATTATATGAGAAGGTACCAGCTTTTCCTAGGTCTCTTCTAATCAACCTGGACAACACGCTCTATACATATTATATAACAAAGAGAAAAATAAATGTCATTTTACCCATTGAACTTCAAGTGTCCACTGTGCTGTGATTCTGAAAAAAAAAAATAGGAATAATTTCTATTTGACCAGAAAATTATATCAAACACCTAACATCATATAATCCACACAGTCTGAACACCAACACCACCAAATAAATTAAACTGGTTCTGGACTCAAAAAGGTTTTTTTTTTACCTTAATGCATTCTCTGCATTAAAGTGTTACTAAACCCAGGACCCTGAATTCACTACATCTGGTCTCCCACAGTACACAAAACATGCAATTATTATCTTGTTAGAGGAGTTTACATTATCATCGGACTGTCCTATGAGGATGCAGGGCCCTGACCCTCTGTCTGGACAGTGCGGATTGGCCCTGTGCTGATCACATGCACTCTCACAAGAAAAAAAAAAACAAAACTATAGCAATACACACCATACACACATGTACAGCTTGCCCCCAAGGCTCTGTTCTTTTTAGGAGAGAAGTCAGGGACAGTGGAAGAAGTAGCAGATCAGAAAGGACCAGATTAAACATTTTACACAATGCAGAGGATTAACTCCTTAGAGGTCCAAAGGGAGTATAACAAGCATGCTTTACTGTAAATACAGATTGATTTTACTAACGCTTTAAAGCGGAGCTCCACCCAAAGGGGAAGTTCCGCTTTAAGGACTGCTCCCCCACTCCCCATTAAGGATTGGCACCTTTGGGGGCAGGGGAGCGGGAAACTGAATTCGATAGGTGCCCGCTCCCACATCCGGTTCGATCGTCTAGGAGATCGGAAGCGGAAGTTGTCCTCCCTGTAGTCTTTTGGGACACGTGACAGGTTCCAGAAGACTACAGGGCCATTCATGAAGCGCAGCGCTATTCGCGCATGCGCAGTGGGTACCCAGCTGTGAAGCCACAAGCTAACACAGCCGGGTGCCCATACTGAAGATGCCGGCCTCCTGGAATCCATGACGGCCGGTGAAACGGGCTGCCTTCAGCGGAGGACACACCGTGGGACCGAGGGACAGGTAAGTGGCTGTTTTTTTTTTAAAAGTCAGCAGCTACAGTTTTTGTAGCTGCTGGCTTTTAATTTTTGACTGGTGAGTGAAACTCCGCATTAAAGGTAACCCCCCCCCCCCCACTTCATTACCTGTTCTAGTGATAGCCTATCCCCAAGTGATAGGTACTTGTTTTGGAATAGGACATTCAGAACCAGTCCTAGTCAACCTTGCAAGTCAGGATGCCCCACCTGGAGAGGAGGCACACTGTTACCATGTACCACTGGGAAATTAACAGTATTTAGGCACGGAGGATTGGCAAGAATGTCCAGATAGGCTAGCAAAAAATTTAATTTTTTCAACAGAGCTGAAGAAAAGGCATTAAACCTCCAGGGAGTCCAAACACTGGCTAGAGGAGGGATTTATTTTATTTACCAAACCTACACAGACTGTATTTGAGTTCCTGTGTATCATATTTTACATTTGAAAGTATTAATCCTGTCACAGCAATATACAGTTAGGTCCATATATATTTGGACACAGACACAATTTTAGATTTTTTCAGGTATTTACCAAAACATATTCAAGCTATAGATATATAATGGAAAGGGGCTGAAAGAGCACAAGCTGAGGTTTAATTTGAGGGTATGTACATCCAAATTGGAGGAAGGGTTTAGAAAGAGTAGCTATCCCCACTTTTTCAAGGGACCAAAAAAATTTTAAATGGAATCAAAAGCTGTTTCATAGCCAGGTATGGGCTACTCCTTTGTTATTTCTTCATCAATCCCTCCACTGGCTCCCTATTGCCCAACGCATCAAATTCAAACTACTCACGCTGACCTACAAAGCCATTTACAACACTGCCCCTAACTACCTCACCAACCCGATTCCCAGGTACCACCCTACCCGTACCCTTCGCTCTTCACAGGACCTCCTATCTTGCTCCCTGGTCTCCACCTCCCACGCAAGATTGCAAGACTTCTCCAGGTCCTCCCCCATCCTCTGGAACTCACTCACTACCCCAATCCATCAGACTGTCACCTTCCCTCCTCACCTTCAGGCGCTCCCTGAAAACCCACCTCTTCAGGGAAGCCTACCCCACCCTCACCTAACAGCCGTTCTCCTTCATTCCTCCTACCACTCCATCCCCCACAGCCACTTCCTCCTGTACCAATACCCCCTCCCTCCTAGATTGTAAGCTCGAAAGAGTAGGGCCCTCTACCCCTCGTGTGCTGTTTGTAGTTGCTGTAATGTTTCAAGTATTGTCCCCCCCTCTATTGTACAGCGCTGAGCAAACCCTTTGGCGCTATATAAACCCGATGTAATAATAATCAATTAAGCAAGTAAAAGGTCTGGCGTTGATTCTAAGTGTGGTATTTGAATGCATGATATAGGTTCACAGCAATAGATTACAAATGCAAAGGAGCTGTCCATGCAAGTGAAACAGGCCATTGTAAGGCTTCAAAAACAAATCCATCAGAGAGATAGCAGCAACATTAGGAGTGGCCAAATCAACAGTTTGGAACATTCTGAGGAAAGAAGAATGCACTGGTGAGCTCAGCAACATAAAAAGGCACAGATGGCCACAGAAGATAACAGTGGTGGATGATCGCAGGATCTTCTCTATGGTAAAGGAAAACCCATTCACAACATCTAGACAAGTGAAGGACACTCTCCAGGAGGGAGATGTATCACTGTCAAAGTCTACAATCAAGAGAAGACTTCACAAGAGAAAATACAGAGGGTTCACCACAAGGTGCAAACCATTCATGAGCCTGAAGAATAGAAAAGCCAGATTAGACTTTGCCAAAAAAAAAAAAAAAAACATCTAAAAAAGCCAGACCAGTTCTGGAAAAGCATTATTTGGACGAACTAAATTAAAATGTATCTGTACCAGAATGATGGGAAGAAAAAAGTGTGGCGAAGGCTTGGAACAGCTCATGATCCAAAGAACACAACATCATCTGTAAAACATGGTGGAGGCAGTGTGATGAAAGGGGCATGCATGGCTTCCAGTGGCACTGGGTCATTGGTATTTATTGATGATATGACAGAAGCAGCTAGATGAATCCTGCAGTGATTAGAGATATACAGTCAGCCCAGATTCAGCCAAATGCAGCAAATTTGATTGGACGGTGCTTCACAGTACAGATGGACAATGATCCAAAACACACTGCAAAAGCAACCCAGGAGCTTTTGAAGGACAAGAAGTGAAATATTCTGCAATGGCTAAGTCAATCACCTGATCTCAACCCAATTGAGCATGCATTTCACTTGCTGAAGGCAAAACTAAAGGCAGAAAGACCTACAAAGAACTCAAGGCAGCTGCAGTTAGAGCCTGGCAAAGCATCAGAAAGGAGGAAACCCAGTCTTTGGTAGAGTCCATGGGTTCCAGACTTCAGGCAGTCTTTGCCAGTAAAAGATTCTCAACAAAATATTAAAAATGAACATTTTATGATTATATTCAATTGTCCAATTACATTTGAGCCCCTGAGTATGGAGGGATGGTGTATATAAATGGTTGTAGTTCCTAAAATTTGTACTTGATATTTATGTTCCACCCCTTGAATTAAATCTGAAAGTCGGCACATCAAAATTTATTTGGATTGTTTTGTTTTAATTTATTCTGGTGGCATACAGAGCCAAAAGTATGAAAATTGTGCCTGTCTTCAAATATATATGGACCTAACTGTATCTTTCAAACAGAAACACCCGTTAAGTCTGCTTACTTCTGTTTCTGTGCCACTTCTTTGCCGAGTATCTACACTAAATGGTGTGGCAGGAACTTCACCATTTGACGCTTCTGTCCCAGACATTAAACGCTTCCGCTCTTTGGACTTTGGCTCCACTTTAGTGACTCTGAATCTGAAAATCAAATGAAAGGAACATACAGAAGTCATGATTCCATATTATTTACAAATGTTAAAAGTGAAAATATAATGCATTCGACTTATATTTTATTTTATACATTTTAAACTGATAATATAGAATTGTTTATTCAAAACAAGTTAAGTCCACTGATTGTGTAGTGACTGCAATTTCAAGAGATGCATACAGGTTTACCTGACTTTGTTACTATCACAATGTATATCCACTCTATCTTCTTTATTTGGTAGGTAGGCCACTATTTTCTGCAGGAGTATGCCAAATCTGAAACACTCCATCCAAAATATTTTTGTTTTGGAAAACATGGGGAAGGGTCAGAACTTGTCAGGTTTTTATGCTTTCAGCATCACCACTGAAAAGACTCCATTACTTTGTGTCCGACAGATAATTATCAGGGAAATGAAAAGTAACATGGATGCAGACATCACCAGAAACCAGACAGACTGCAACCCTTCCCTACTCAATCAAAAAAAAAAAAATGGATGGAGTAACACTTTAAGTATAGAGAGATTTCCAACTATAATGGTTTATCAATGGAAAATATGTATTATAACAATAACTGCCCAAGCAATGGTCCCAGAGGTTGTAAAGGTATTTTTTTTTTTAACTACTTCCTGTCCGGACACTTTTACCCCCTTCCTGTCCAGGGCAATTTTCAGCTTTCAGTGCCATCACACTTTGAATGACAATTGCGCGTTCATGCAACACTGTACCCATATGATTTTTTTTACCATTTTTTTGAACCAGATTAAAAAAAAAAACGTTATTTTGGTGGTATTTATTCACCGCTGGGATTTTTATTTTTTTTGCTAGGTAAATAAAAAAAAAAAAAGCCAAATTAGTTTATAACCAAAAATTATAATTTTTAAACATTTTTTTTTTTACATTTTTATTTTTTTTATATTATTTTTTTTTTTTTTACATACTGTCACCCTAGCAGTACAGTGTCACCATTTTTACACTGATTTCTTTTACACCCATAAAGGATGTAAAAGCAATCATTTCGCTTTCTCTCTGTCTGCATTCTTGCAGCCATTGAGAACTACTGAGTGAGCTGTGATTGGTCACAGCTTGTCACATGGTACAAGGCTGTTGTGAATAGCCTTGTGCCATGTGACCTCTGTGATCATTCACAGATTTCACACGTAGTAAGCAATGTCAGAAGTGACATCTTGCTTACTATTTTGCATGTGATCACTGATTGGCCAATCAGCGATGACATGATCGGGACCTTGTACAGAGCTCCCGTCCGACGATCGGTGTTTCACTGTGTCCGGACGACACAGCGGGCACTGGATCACGGTGCTGCGCGCTCCTGGGGGGCGCACACAAGCAGGGTGCGGGGAGGCCATTTATAGAGGGCCACCCAACCCTGCACTGCCACCGTCCAGCCGTTTATATACAACGGCTGGACGGGAGGTGGTTAAATAAACAAATATGTTAAACTTACCTGATCTGTGCAATAGTTTTGCTCAGAGCGTCACCAATCCTCCTCTTCTGGGGTCCCCCCGCCAGCACTCCTGGCTCCTCCTCCCTTCTGAGTGCTCCCACAGGAAGACACTTCCTATAGGGATACTCATGCATGCTTGAACCCTAGCCAGGCTATTTGCTTCTATTCAAAACAAACAGCTTAGCATGCCCCCCCCCCTTGCTCACAGGTTTTGACTAACAGCAGCAGGAGACAATGGCTCCTGCTGTTCTCAGTCAGGCCTGTGAGAGCAGGGAGGATGGAAAAAAGCTGTTGCAGACATGCACAGTGCTGCATTAAGATAGGGCTGTGGAAAGTACTTAGGAGGTGAGAGCGATCAATAAAAAGTTTTTTACTTTAGTGTAGAAAACGCACTAAGCAAAAAAAAACAAAACAACAACTATTACCTTTAGAAGCACTTTAAAGCCCTAGTAAAACTGCAATATCTAAACATCAAGTCTGCCTACAAACATAACTACTACACAATACTGACTAAAACTTTAACAGAAGAAAAATACAAACACTGAACACTGTGCACAATATGGTGATGTTACCTTCCCACTGACAGAACAGTGACAGAAGGCCGGCTCTTCCTGGTCTCTTTATGTTTCTGCGGTGTCTTAAATGGGTTCCAACGTTTCTGGGCGCATCGGCTGCATACGTTTCTGTGTCTGCCACTCCTCCAATAGTGTGAAGATGACAAGAGTGTTTAGTAGGTGTTCCAAGAGGTGAAGTCGGGCTTGTAGGACTTACAGGAGTATTTGGTGTTGTAGGTCTACACATAAGAAAAAACCAACACACAACGATGAAACAGAAATCAAAGTAAAAAATACGTTCAGTTATTTTAAATACTATACAGTATTTTTACTCTTCCTTGCTGCTCTCTTGGACAACAAATACTATTTCATTGAAACCGTTCAAAAGATTCTCAACTTGTTTGAAAATTGTTATTTTAGTGTTGCTTCAAGGAAAGGAATGGCTCTTCATAAATAACAGTGCATTCAGCCCAAGACAGATTGTAAGAATATAGAAGGGTGCTTAAAAACTGAATCAGAATGGACTGTACGGTAAACTGAACCTGTTATTAACAACCTTGGTGCCTGTCAAATGTAATGGACTACAGACTTGATTATTTGATCGATCACATGGAATCTTATTTGATCGATCACATGGAATCATATGTCATACACAGGGCTGTTAGAGGTTATTCTTACCAACAAGAGTAACAACATCCCTAGCTGAAGGCAATCTGTTACAAGCCACCTCCGTTTCCCCAAGAATCTTGTACATTGCAACATTAGAATTAAACATTTATGTGGACAACTTTTTTAAGCTATTATACTTACTCCAGTTAACTGGATCACAAAAATAAATCTATATTAACCATTTCTTCATAGGTGTTCACCAACATTACAGATTTCACAACAGGGCATACAGTTCAAAGTTTCACTAATAAAGTAATTAATCATAATAGGAATTCCCTGGAATTAAAACTTACTGAATAGAATTCTTGCTCTAGAATCATTATAAAACACTGACATGAATAATTGTAAAGGTTTCTTTGTAGGAATCTGATCTGATATACATTTATGTCTGTAAAATGTGAAAATGTCTATTTCTTTTTTTTTTTTTTTTTTTTTTTAACCACTTGCCTACTGGAGCAATTTTGCCATTTTTCACATGCATGTTAAAATCACCTAGAAAATTACTTAGAACCCCCAAACATTATATATAGAAAGCAGAGGCTCTGGATAATAAAATGGTGGCTACTGCAATTTTTTATGTCAAACAATACTTGCACAGTTGTTTATCAAACACATTTTTCCAGGTAAAAATACACTTGAATGAACTTTAGTCCACACAATAACAATAGAATACCCATTTGTTAGCAAAATATAAACATGTCAAAATTTAAAATTGCATATGTCTGAAATTACAACAAACTGCGAGACCTAAAATTGTCCATAGTCGATGCTTTAAAAGCCTTTACAGGTCACCACTTTGGAGTTAAAGGTGAGCTCTGGTGCTAGAATTATTTCTCACACTAATATTCATAGCAATACTTCACCTGTGTGCTGCAATCTCTGTTTACATATGCGTGCCAGACCTATGTGTGTGTTTTTATATGCACACGAGCACAGGGATGGGGGTGCTTTACATTCTGTTATTTTTACTTTTTTTTAAGTTAACTTTATTGCTATAACAAAGGACAAACAACATCTTGTGTGCCAGCTTGGGCAATGACAGGTACTCTTTATGGAGAGATCTAAAGTCTATAAGACCCCTGATCCCTCCTCTGCCCTTCAAAGCACCTAAACAAACACAGATCGTTTTGATCAGATGCTTCCCTGGCCGGTACACAGAACCAAAACCAGAAATGACAAAATCCTCAGCACCTCCAGCTTCATTCTCCTAGAGAATAGGGCTTATCTGCTTGTAGCTGTCCTGCGCTCCTTGGTTGAATGAGAGAGCTCAGGAATAGTAGCAGGCAGGATGCCCCCCCATTTCCAGGCCCTATAATGATGATCAGGCAGTAGTAAAGATGCTTGGATCACTTTTATCGAAAAGCTGGTTACTGTCTGTAAAAATCAATATCAGGATGATAGCTGCAGCTACAGGCATAATCTCAGCACATCCAGTTCCCCCTAAGGCTGTATATATTACATTAAATATTAACTCAATTGAGAAAGTCCACACAAAAAAAAAGGTAAGATTTATTTTAATTTTCTAATCACGTGAAAAGCAAATTCCTTTGTTTTTTTTTTTTTTATATTACATGAACATTATCGGCTAACTGAAGTAAATCTTCACTTTTTTTGTGAACACTGTCAACTCCTTTAGTAAATCAGCCACACCATAAAGACTCAGTGCTCTCTAAACTTACCATCCTAAACATTCCTGTATATATACAAACCCCCTCAAGAGGGCAGCTGTGCTCCAATGCTAACCGGGCTAAAGAACAATGCAGTCACATTAAAGAAAACTAATACAATGTAGGACACAGGCATCATGTAATTAGGAATACTTTTATTACCATTTCCAACTATTAATCACATTTTTTCTTTTTTGCATTCTACCTCATACTGAACCTTTTTCCGGATTTAGATATAGTTGGTAATGGATAAACCCCTATTATGTTTTTAGCCATCTCTGTCCCATTGGGGAGATTTTCTTCCACTTCCTATGATGTAAACACAACAGAAAGGTTGAAGAAATATCTCCAATGTGAGGGAAATCCTAATAGTGACACCTGTCTTTAGATCCGGTCTCAGTGGTTGGACCCATGTCAAGCAAAACACAAGATGGACGGTCTAAACTTTCCCCACTTAATTTAAAACTAAAAAATGTTTTGGCTTTAGATCTACTTTAAACTGGTGCCCATTAGGCAGCCTAGTCATTTTCAGCTTCTCTAGCATACAGTATACAATGCTCCAGCATCCCAATTCAGCATCTGACTGGAAACAATCGGGAACCAGCAACTACACAAGATTCAAAATATATCAAATCTACTGTCTAAAATTCAATAGTTCCCAATATATTTGGGTTCCAGTAGCCGAATGGTGGCATGCTCTACATTTGTTGTAGCTCCTAGAACAGAAGAGTCCTTCGGTAATGCTTCTACACAATTGTTATCCCATTTTTTATTTTAAATATTTAATGTTGTTTGAATTTTTGTCTTTTGTAACTTTCTTCCCCTAAAGTGTGTGGGGAAACCAACATCTCCCACACTCCTGGTCAATCCTGTAATGACACAGGTCAGCAAGAGGAAATAATGAGAGCTGCGGGGCACCTGGGACATAGAAAGCCAACTCTTCTGAGAGTGTCTTAAGAATATCGGTGCCGATTCCATATAGGTGCCGATTCCATATAGGTGCCGATTCCATATAGGTGCCGATTCCCCAGGAAGAGCTTGTTCACACACACGTGTCAATACCCTGTGTTTATGTGGAACTTGTTCAGCATTTTGTCTCATAACCGCCCTTTAACACCTTTCATGAATATTACAATAGCACCACACAATGCAGTACACACACGCTATTGATAGTGTTGTGTTAAAAATTAGGCATCGTGTATGCTTCTCAGCCGCCTCCATTTATTTCAAAGGCAAAGTTCTGTAAGCGCACCTTAATAATACCTAGAGCATTTATGACATTGTAATTAAGCATTTATAAAGTGTTAGCTGGGTGATGGGGGAGAGGCAGTGGAGGTTCCTGCATCCCAGAATGCACTGGGAAATAATAGAGAACTAAGACAGAGCAACTGAGCATTACTGCCAGTGGCAAAGCTACTTGTTTTAGCAAAGTTGAGCTGGGCCAAGTTTAAAAGAGATCAAACTATAGAAATCCATCTTGCAGAGAATTCACAAAAATGTCTGCTATCACATCCCAACCTAACCACACCTCAACGGAGATCATTTCTGCTATATCACTTCTCCTTTAAGCGCCTCCTACTAGAAAAGCATTTCATGGGCATTTATCAATCATTCTCAAAGCTTTTTCTACGTTTCATAAACACAATGAAAACATGTAATAAATGCAATAGGTGCATTAAAGTGATTCTAAAGGATGTAAGTAAAAAAACAAACAAACATGTAATATTATCTATTATCAATTGTTTTGCACAGAGCAGCCCCGATCCTCTACTTTTTGGGTTTCCAGATGGTGCTCCTGGCTCCTCCCCCTTCCGAGTGCCCCCAATAGCAAGCTGATTGTTATGGGGGCACTCGAGCAGGCTCGCTACCGAGCCTGACTCCTGTAAATAAACGCTGTCCATTCACACAGACAGCGCGGCTCGACCCCATCCCCTGGCTCTCGCCTCATTGGCTCACTGGCTGTGATTGACAACAGAGGGAGCTGCGTAAGCCAATGAGCAGAGAAAGACCCGAGAGAGCCACGGCTCTCGTGCACTTCGCTGGATCGCAATCATGTTCAGGTAAGTATAAGGGAGAACGGGGTGGGGGGGAAGCTGCACCAGAAGGTTTTTTTCCCTTCCATGCATAGAAAACCTTCTGCTTTTAGAACCACTCTAATGAGCAATGCTCTGTTCCTCATAATCAGCATATGTGTGAAAAAGTCCAAACTGAGCATATAATTTCAGCTCGGACAGTTAGAAATATTTACATTTTCTTTTACAGGTACACCTTTCCCTGGGAAAATCTGTAGAGCAACAGAGTCGCTTTAAAAGGGAACCTTTGTGCCAAGATCATTATTTTGTTTGGAAGCAAAAATGCAGCTCTATCCAAGATACAATAGTTAAGACGTTTCAATCTAGCGCACTACAGTTCTCCTCGAGTGCCAAGTTTCTCATTCCTAATTCCCAGAAAAATAAACTCACCAAAATATCCAATGAACAGCAAAGGGGAAGGAAAAGAAAGAAATTAAAATTATATTCTTTAGTAATACAAATTCAATATAACCCCACAGTTGTTTTATTTATTTCAAATAATAACTATAGGTTTTTCTTTTAAAAAAAAAAAAAAAAAAAAAAAAAAAAAAAAACTTATACAGGAAAAGGTAGTCAATGAAATAATATTACTAGTTTTTGCTGATGAATTTATGATTTTAACAAACAGGCAGCCATGACAACAAGTGGGCAGCCATCACACTACTAGAAACGGGTAATGCCAACAATGCATAGACAAAACGGCTGGGCAATAACATCCCACACCTTCCCACTAGTCAAGAGCAAAATATTTAATTTTCTGGACAATCATGTCAGTTCTGTAAATTTGAAAATGTCTTTAAGGACAGTTTTAGAGTAAAGCAACTCTGACAACATATGATCGTATGTGGGATATTCACCCTACTTTGCCCATTGTACATGTGAGGTCCTCTAAATCCATCAAAAGCCAAAGGCTGACAATTTCAAGCCTCTTTGTGAGAAGTCCAAACTTCTTCAAACACAGTTTCTACTCCAAGCCTTCCAATGATTAACAAAACCTGTATAGAAGGTGCCAAAAAGAGTGGCACCGCCCTACAGAACAGGTACAATTTGGAGATCTCTATCTAGTATTGTGGATCCCACAGCTCTGCCCAAGCTAGCATACCAATATAGCTTTAGTGCTATACCTAAATCAGGGTGCTAGAATACTAGCAAACACTAGAAACAAATGACTGATGATAAAATAATAGAACATTATTTTGTAATGTCAAAATAAGATCAAATTGTCATATAATCTCTCACTTGTGACACAATTTGCTACAACTACCATTCCATGAATTTAAAAAATGATTTCTTGTTAAACCTTTTAAAGTCTTTCTTTGCCTTTGAAAACTATAAAAAGTTTGAAGACAATCCATATACGTATACAGAGGTAAAATGAGAACAGGAAAAATGTTGTCCTGGGGGGTAAATATATAAAAAACACGTTACATGGAACCACTAAAAAAACATGGAGATATACAATGTTATAAAGGAAGGCAGGATTCGGATATGCTTTAGATAGGGGGCTCTGGCCCAAATAACCATATGGGGGTTCCATATGAGGCAGTAAAAGTGGGACAGCAGGGAGTAGAATAAAAGGGGGGGGGGGAATAAAAGAGATAGAAGATGTATAGCATGACATATTGGATAGCCACAATTGGGGATTAGGAAATGTCAAGGAAGGAGCAATGAATCGTCAAAGTTCGGTGGAATAAAATGTCCCACCCATAGGGTCCAGATCATCAAAAACCTAGGTAAAAATGCTTTCCAATACTGAATAAAACTTGTCGTTTTGGTTATGTATTTAAACTATTATATATTCATATGGAAAATCAAATGGATTAAAAGAAGCCCAGCATCCTCTCTTGTTGCCAGGTCTCACTGCCTGCTTTTATGTTCAGAATACTGAGTAGAAATACAAGGTTCACTAATTTTCATCTGGCCAAGTCCTGAATGTTTCCAGGTCCAGCGTTGTGATGATCCAGAGGAGTACACAGTGCCCCTTCTTACCACCTACCTGATGACAGTAATAGGATGAACTGGATAAAAATAAAGAAATTATTACAAGACACAAAAACAACCCCAAACTGGAACTAGGTCCTAATTTGTTGCTTATTTGAAGTACATGTCCAATCTAGACTACCCTTTACCCTTTCTTCAGGGTAGCAAACTGTTATAGGAGGGCTCAGAAAAGAAACTGACAGACATGTTAATTATGATATTTTTTATTTTGCCCACAATAAACAGTCCTGAAAAACAGGAAATTCATATTAGGAAGTTCCTAATGGCAGGGTCTTTTCCTTCTTAGGTCTCGGTCCCGATTTTTATCTGAAGTCTGTATTTGGTACCCTTTTATTTAGGGAAATAGTCATTTTTAATACAGCTGTGTTCAAAATAATAGCAGTGTGTTGAAAAAAGTGAATAAATCTCAAAATCCTTCTAATAGTTTTTATTTCCATACACACACATGCATTGGGAACACTACACATTCTATTCCAAATCAAAACATGAAGAAAAATATATCAAATTTGTGTTGTTCCTCTAATAAAATTGAAGAAAAGTGAATATTAGACGGTTCAAAAAAATAGCAGTGTTTGTATTCTTCTTTACAAACTCAAACATTCACTATATAAACTGAAAAATGTTTGAAGATTTTGCTTTCCTTTGAATCACTTAATATTTAGTTGTATAGGCACTGTTTCTGAGAACTGCTATACATCTGTGTTGCATGGAGTCAACCAACTTCTGGCACCTGTGAACAGGTATTGCAGCCCAGGATGATTGGACTACATTCCACAGTTCTTCTCTATTTCTTGGTTTTGCCTCAGAAACTGCATTTTTGATTTCACCCCACAAGTTTTCTATTGGATTAAGATCTGGGGATTGGGCTGGCCACTCCATAACATCAATCTTGTTGGTCTGGAACCAAGATGTTGCACGTTTACTGGTGTGTTTGGGGTCATTGTCTTTTTGGAACATCCATTTCAAGGGCATTTCCTCTTCAGGTATTCTGATGTATTCAAACTGATCCATGATCCCTGGTATGCGATAAATAGGCCCAACACCGTAGTATGAGAAACATCCCCATATCATGATGCTTGCGCAACCATGCTTCACTGTCTTCACAGTGTACTGTGGCTTGAATTTAGTGTTTGGGGGTCGTCTGACAAACTGTCTCTGGCCACTAGACCCAAAAAGAACAATCTTACTTTCATCAGTCCACAAAATGTTGCTCCATTTCTCTTTAGGCCAGTCAATGTGCTCTTTGGCAAATTGTAACCTCTTCAGCACGTCTTTTTTTCAACAGTGGGACTTTGCGGGGGCTTCTTGCAGATAGCTTGGCTTCACATAGGCGTCTTCTAATTGTAACAGTACTCACAGGTAACTTTAGACCTTCTTTGATCTTCCTGGAGCTGAGTCCTTGCCATTTTGGCTATTCTTCTATCTATTCGAATGGTAGTTTTTCGCTTTCTTCCACGTCTTTCAGGTTTTGGTTGTCATTTTAAAGCATTTGCGATCATTTTAGCTGAGCAGCCTATCATGTTCTGCACTTCTTTATATGTTTTCCCCTCTCCAATCAATGTTTTAATCAAGGTACGTTGTTCTTCTGAACAATGTCTGGAACGACCCATTTTCCTCAGAATTTCAGAGAAATGCACTGTAACCAGCATGTACAACATTTGCTGCCTTCCTTCCTTAAATAAGGGCAATAATTGCCACCTGTTTTTCAAAGAATGAATGACCTCACTAATAGAACTCCACACTGCTATTATTTTGAACATGCCCCTTTCAATTAGTGATTCAATTACACAGAATCAGCAGCATGCATGTCATGACTGTTGGGTCTGTTGGATTTCTATTACTCTACTAAACCTGCTAGTAAATTATTTGCCATGTAGAAATATAATTTCTACCAAAAACAGTGATTGATCAGGTTAGAGATGTCTGACTGCTATTATTTTGAACACAACTGTAAGTTAAAATAAGATCATTGGGAATTACTAACATCAAAGACTGATCTTTTTATAATAAAGAATCACTTATGTTTTAGCCCCTCTATTCCCTTGTTAGAAATGGCCACAAAAAAACAAATGCAGAAGTGTACAAGCACATTTAAGAGAAGAATAAGAAGTATATTCGGCTGTCTGTGTCTTAATGTCAGACTTACATCTCTGGGTCAAACACACTGTTATCTGCTACCGCCGAGTTGTCTGCGACCATGGCTTTCAGAACATCAGCATTCGCTGCAAAGACAAGAAAAGAATTAAGGATGTGAGAGCTCAGAACCCAGATCCATGGCATTTCATCTGTGCTCCTATAGGGAAAATGGGCCACGTCTCTGACAAGGTTCTAACACCTGATACAAATTTACAGAGAAGTACATTCTCATTGTAAACATATTAAGTGAGTATTACTAACCTTTAAAGTAATTTTTGGTCCAACTTAATGGCAACATTCAAACTTGAGAGCAGCTTATTCAAGTGATTTTAAAGGGGTTTTTTTGTGTGTGTTTTTTAGGCATTTTTTTGGCACATTGCAGGAATGATTTGCTGCACAAGAGCTTCTTTGGGGCAGATTTTGCATTTTTTAGCCCCATTGACTTTTACTACAGGAGCACCTGAAAGACTCACTTTTTTCATGTGTTTTTTTCAGGTTCCTATTAAAGTCTATGGGGTCATAAACAGCCAAATATACCTGAAAATAAACTCCTGTAATTTATCTAGCATCAGGAGCCTGAGCACCCAGGTGTGAACAGGCACTATTTAAAACCATATAAATTTTAATGTTCAGATTCAATCTACATAACATTCAAATGTCAACGGAGCTAAACTACTCCATATACAGATTTGCAAAATGCTAACCCTCTACAATATATCAGGGAATGCAAATAACATGCCTAATAATCAGTTCCTGCTGAACTGGCTGAATTTCAATCCAAGTATAGGCGCCTTGGTTGTACACAAGTCGATTTTTCTATTGACTTGTGTACAGCCAGCCTGTTGGGTTTCTCTTGAATGATTAGTACCGTCAGCTAAAGCTGGCAACACTAATAATTCTCTTATTCTGGCAGGGAAGGCTCCCCGCTGGCAGAATACGATAGTGCTGCGGGAGGGATTCCCCTATCAGCACTGATTGTGTTGATGGAGGAAATCAAGCAATTTTCCTTCCTTCCACCCACGGCATACTAATATTGATTGAGGTATTTGTTTGTACATTTTGTGCTGCAACTTATATGTATATTATTTATTTGCTATTTCACTTTTTGGTTTGTACACACTGCTCAAATCAACTAAAACAGAAGCAAAGACTGCACATTTAGGGCACGTCCACACTGGCAGCCAGGGGGCGGTAAAAATAGATGGCTGAGTTGGTGGTTTAACACACTTCCATCACCCACCTCTAAAAAGGTGACGTAGCAGCTCAGGGCTGTACATATGCTGCAGTAACAATTTAATTCACTTTTGCATTTGACAGGCAGTATAACAGTTGAATCAAAACGGAATAAACAGTCCAACAATATCAAAATATTCAAGGACAGTCTTCTCCTCTGTGACTTTTCTTCATATAGTAATTTAAATAGTGTTTCACCTCCACCTTGAATTAAATGCACACTCATCAGACCCTATTGCCATCTAAATGAATAGAACAGCAAATAGCACTTTGTTAAACAATGAAGCTCTTCTCCAAGAAAAGGTGCTCCAAGGGAACCAATATCTCTTCACCATTCTCTTAGCGTGTTGAGACCACAGAGGACCATTATTCTGTGTGATATCGACAACACAGACGGGTACCAGACTCCCAGCATGGACTGTACAGAGGAAGACACAGTGTCCACTCCCTCACCCGCACCACTGGTCACAGCTCACTCCATAGCAACATTATTTAAAATTACTATATGATGAAAAATCACAGAGGAGAAGACTGTCCTTGAATATTTTGACATTGTTGGACTGTTTATTCTGTTTTGATTCACACACTTAAACACAAAAATCCAATATGTAAATAAATAACCCTAGACATATATACTATTTTTTATATATATATATATATATATATATATATATATATATATATATATATATATATATCCCAAATAATTAAAAAAAAAAAGAAGAAAAAAAATACCAAAATAACCAATAAAAATCGAAATAATTAAAGAAATCGAATCCAAAATTATAAATTACTCGTGTCCAAAAATTATGTAAATTAAAGTCACTCCAAAATTATACAACGTATGACTAAGTCGTGGATGTGACGAAACGCGTCAAGGGAAGTGATGTCGGACGCACAGGAGAGGAACCGGAAGTGGCGCGTCAGCCATTTTGGATATTGGAAATCCGCATATCATACAAACTGGAAGCAGTATAATAAAGTATATATATGACATTTTGAAATGGAATTACACTATATATATTTATTCATATATCACTCGCATGGAGCATGGGTACGTTGGAGTCCTATGGGGTACTTCCTTAAAGCCATTCAGGAAAATGTGGTGGATGACATCCTAAGGAGTACTTTTCAGGATTGGAGGAAATTTGGGGAAGTGTGCTGCCGATCTCTGCAATATTGATAAGGCGTTTGTTTGTTTTTTGGTAAGGGTATGCCTTATACTATAGAATTGTACACTGTATGGTCACTTGGATTATTGTATTCACAGAGTGACGCACTATCACGGTTTTAACACAGTGTTCACATTTTTCACTATATTAATTTTGCACAATTTTTTGAAGTCGCACAAATGCATATGGGATATGGGTATGATATTTAATTTATTAAGTTAATGCACTATATTATTATTATTATACAGGATTTATATAGCGCCAACAGTTTGCGCAGCGCTTTACAATATGTTTTCTTTCTTTTGAGGTGCATTCTTTCCTTTTGGGAGCCATTGGAGGGGCTTGGCACCAGAGGATTCGATAAATTGCATGATTTTGGACACAGTTTTTTGGAGTAACTTTAATTTACGTAATTTTTGGACACGAGTGATTTATAATTTTGGATTATATTTTTTTAATTATTTCGATTTTTATTGGTTATTTTGGGACTTTTTTTTTTATTATTTGGGTTCACTTTATATATATATATATTAGCATATATATTTAGGGTTATTTATTTACATATTGGATTTTTGTGTTGATTTGCACTTTCAAGGGTGAAAGTTTGATGTTATATGTGAAAGGGTATTATTGATAGTTTATTTTTGGTTGATACCGTAGTTACAGTTTATTGATGCACATACTTGTCACGGGTGTTTTTATTTGCTTTTTAGTTATATTTTATAAGCGGTGCAAATAATTGTATTTTGTATTATTTTGGTTTTTTGTGTATGAACACTTTTTGCTATCAGCTAATCACCATCACTGAGCTCTGACTTTTTTTCTAATTTTATAGTATCACAGTTGAACATGTGCCAGTCAGGTGAATAGTGGCCGTGGCACAGAGTTAAAACTGTTAAAGGCTGTGTGGAAGCAACATATCGCCTCCTAACAGTTTGTCAACACCCCTCTGAAAAGCTGTCACTCATGTGAACCAAGCCTAAAGCTGGCCATAGATCCATTTTTTTTCCATTTGGCCAGTGGTGGATGAAAGATACCCCCATGCCAGGACATTGTATTCTGACAGCAGGACTCGGCGGTCATTTGCTGCAGCCATTGAGCAACAAACATTTTCCAACATTCTCTCAGTTACACACGGATCGAAATTCATCCATTCCCTGCTAAACTGGCTGAATTTTGATCCATCTATGGCCAGCTTTAATGTTTTCCCATCCTTAAATATATATTTATAAAAACTTAACACATATTTTGTAAAACAATAACTGTATGTAGATAGAGGTCAGTATATGAATTCCTTTTTTATTTCACATTCCTTTATTTATATTTTCTCCACACACAGATCAAGCTGTCCTGGAAAAATTTCAATTACAAGGGTTGAAACAAACCATATGACAGTACCCGTGGTGCTTCCAATGGTCAACCTTTAATAAACAATACAACATTGCTTGAAAGAAGCTAGAAAGGTCTATTTCTGCACCATCAATGTGTAAAAGGGGATGCATACCTTCATTTTTCATGATGTAGCTTACAATGTGTCCAACGGTGTCATTAGTGGTGTCTGCAGCTTCATCTTGCATCTCTGATAAAGAGAAAGAAGGTCAACATTTCAAAGTAAAATAGATGACAGAGTCACCATAATACAGCACAGCTAAAACCAGCAGAATTAACTCGCAGAGGGGGAAAGTTAGTGGAATGACTGTGTTAGGGGAAGAATTCCAGTATTCTTTCAGCAGCAGTTAATCTAACTTCATCAACCATCAGCTAACCATAGTGACAGATCAGTTATAAACACCCAATGAAAGGATTTTTTTTCCTGTTTTTACAGACAGAATTGGAGCATGTGATGTGATCACAGCTGGTGTTCTGATCACAAAAAATGACCTGTAGCTAACCACACTGAGGGCTTTAGGTCTTAAAATGATTTAGATTAAAGAAGTAATCCTTGGCTGCTGTCACCAAACAAGATTTTTTATGGTCAGCAAGCCACATGCTGTTCAAAAGTAACTTCAATGCACATACCACTAAGGGTCGCTGAGTTGCGGTTTTACCTTTCCTTAACCGCCCATCTAAAAAGAGAACATGCAGGGCTGTACACATGCTGTGGCCGTAATGCTTTGCTTCCCAGCAAAAATGATAGCCCTGTCACGTTCGATGGAGCTGCGCTGCAACCATGAGACAAACGCTTGCCTTGCAGCATGGTATTTAGATATGAAATGTCCATTCAGTGTCAAAAGAATATATATACAATTTCAGGGATGTTGAATTCCTGTTGCCCGACGCCCAGGACATGTAGTTCTGGGCGCCGGCAGGTAGGTTTTTTTTACCTGCAGCCCTGCTGTGGGCAAGCAGCAGGACTCACCTGTCAGGTGGAAGCAATCGGTGGCAGCTCTGCAGCCAATTACGTCCACACAGTGCCAGCCTCTCCTATCCCACGTGTGAACCTCCCCCCACCCAGTATCTCCCGGGCTTCGTTTGCCCATCTGCGGGCCCGGGACCGGCTCACCGCTGTTAGCTAGAGTGGAGGGAGGAGAACGGACACATCCACTCCCCTCCCCTTCTTGTCCTGTCCATGTTGAGAGAAAGAATGTAATGTGGTGCGATGGGCACTGCATTACATTCAGTGTGGTACAGGGGAGACATCCAGGGTCTATTAGATCTTGGATGTCTCAATAAAGAGAACCTATCAACAAAAATCATCACTTAGGAAACATTGTCCCCTATTTGATGAAAAAAAATTAATAAAAAAATATATATATATATATTTTTTAATTGTAAAAAATGAGTTACACCCAAGCACATAACATCCCCCCCACAAAACATTGAGGCCCCCCACCTCCAAGCACAAATGTAAAAGCACACGCTGGGGCGCCTACGCTGATTGCGATACACGTTACATATCACCACGCAAGCTAGGATGAGAGCAATAATTCTAGATCCAGACCTCTTCCATACACTATACTGATGACCTATAATGGGCTTTAAAGGCATCACTTATAGAAAATTAAGGGTACTGAAATTCGTTTCCATTTCACAAGCACAAATTGAAGGTTTCACATGTTGGATATTTTTTTACTCGGTACAACCTCATCTTTTATATTTTACAAAAAAAAGGGTAATTTTTTTTTTCTTTGTGCCCTAAAATTAACTTACTTGTATTTTTACTGAAATTTTGCGGTAATATCATGGGACGTAAATAAAAAAATTGGAACTACCACTTTTATTCTCTAGGGTCTCTGCTGTCAGAAAATATATGTTTGGGGGTTTTATGTAACCTTCAGGTCTAAAATGAATTTTTTTAATCTTGTACAAAAACGGCTCTGGCAGCGAAAGGGATAAAGGATAAGTCCGACACTCCCCTTTCCTGAGGAGCAGCCAATTGGTGCTAGATACACTGCAAGGTCTCTCTACTCCCTGCTAGTCCCCAGGGGCGGGGCTAGAGACAGGCAGGGAGGGGAGAAGGAGATAAACAGAGCAATGTTAAAAATGTTACACATTTAAGTCACCATAAAACCCTTTTTGTTTTTAAAACAATCCTAAATAATTTTAGATTTAAATACGGTTTTGGTTCAAAAATGTTTTTGGTTTTATCTGGACAAGTAGATTGTCATGAGGGACAAGTAGATTGGGACACCGATTTAGTCCGCGGAAAATACATTTTTTCAAAAATGTTCACACCCCTGCAGTTTATTATTATGGAAGTTCAGGAGGTGGCAGGATTGCCTCCAGAATGCCTGGTGTTGACAAGCCTTGAAAGTATCATCAGGTTCTCATGTTCCAGCTTGTGAATGTTAACACAGATTATAATGTAAGTGTCACTTGGCTGCCAAAGTCTTCAGTGATTCAAGGCTGCTTGTGAAAAGTCTAATAATAACTTAGTAACAGTCAGCAATCAATGTAAGGAATAATTCACATTATGTGCAGTTTAATGTGCAGCAGCATTTCACCAAGCTGTCAAACGCAGTTCACAGCTAGGACACACAGAAAACAATTGTTTTCTAGATGTCCCATTCACATGGCAAAGCAGCCCAGAGCTGTGGTACAGTGAACTATGTTAAAATGCAGACATGCTGCATTGTATCAGTGTACCATACAGAATCACATGTCACTGTATAGCAGTGCATTGTACTGCTGTACAGTGGCATGAATGAAATGTAACTTTTATGTAAAAATAATAAATAATAAAGTTTCTACTATATAAAAAAAAAAAAAGGGCATTTCTGTGATGCATTGAATCAGGCACCACCCCACCCCCTACCACAGTCGGATAGCTGCCAGAGAGGTAAACTGCTGCAATTTAACTCTTTGGCAACTGTTCGTTCTGTGTGAATTCAACCTACAATCTGTGTTTAACCCTCCCAAACTGGAACTGAAGAGTTCTTTAAAGGTTTCAATTATAGATAGAGCTGCTCAAAGCTTGCTGTAAGCTTCATTAAAGTCAGCTGTGCATGCCGTTCTTAAGAAGCCGAAGCCCATCTGAACAAACCCTTAAAGAAAACTGCCCCTTCAGCTCCTACTTTGGGTGTTCCTGCACAGATTACAGGAGGTTGCTATCAAGAAGGTTGCAGTTCTGATTTAATGCATTGCAGTGTTGTGTGCGCAAAAGCAGCTCATTTATTTGGAATGGGCTGCCAAAGCATCTCAATGGCAAATAAAATGCACACATGCGATGTGGTGCATTGCAGCGTGGCCTGTTACCAGTTTAAATAGCACTATTAAGAAAGAAAAATAGACAAACCCTTCAAGTGCAAGGTATTTCACATTCTGAACAAAAAAAAAAAAAAAAACCATCAGTGGATATGCATAAAATTTATAATAGCAAGAGAAATGAGGGATTCCTTTCAAGACCTAACCTGTCAGCAGCCAAAACAAGACACGGCAATGTATGCATTCATTAGTAAATTAAAACAGACAATAAATGCATCCTAGGCCAGGGGATTGGCATACAGATTAGAGTGTCTTACCTATCTTTTCTGCTGAGATTTTTTCTTCTTCTTCAGGTTCTGCTGTAGTGCAGCGATATCCTTTCGTCTTGAGAATGTGACAGATCAGAACCCCCAACAGACCCATGATGAAGAAAATGGGGACTAATATAAAGGCAACATATTCTGGATGGCCACCACCGCCACTGGTACTCCCTGTGCCACTTGTGCTCGCTGCCACCGCAGGGTCCAAAGACGGTGAGATGTCTACAGAACAGATACATCAACAGTCACATAACTGTCACAGAAATATGAATCAGTAATTAACCACTTCAATACTTGGCACTTTCACCTCTTTCCTGCCCAGGCCAATTTTCAGCTCTCAGCACTGTCACACTTTGAATGACAATTGCGCGGTCATACAACACTACCCAAATTAAAGTTTAGCCTTTTTTTTTTTTTTTTTAAGACAGATACAGCTTTCTTTTGGTCATACTTATTCACCACTGGGGTTTTTAATTTTTGCAAAAGAAAGGAAAGAAAAGACAGAAAAGTTTGAAAAAAAATGTTTTTTTTTTTGTATCGGTTATAAAATTTTGCAAATAAGTAATCTTTCTTTCTTCTCCACTGCTGGGCACTGATGAGGCTGCACTGCTGGGCATTCATAAGCTGCACTAACAGGCACTGAATGTGCAGCAATGATAATCACTGATGATCAGTGGCCTCGTTATCAGTGTAAATGTACTCACTGTCCCCAATCAGACATGCCGGTTATCAGCTCTCCTTTCCTCAAGCAGAGACAGAGACTTAGGAAAGGAATACTGATAACCAGCAAGTCTGTTTACATGTGACCAGCTGTGATTGGGGGCACAGCTGGTCACATGATAAAGGGATGTTGTGATTGGCCCTTTACAGTGAACTGTGATAGGCTGTATCCAAAAGACAAAGTGGTCACAGAGCACGACCGATGCACACCCCAGGGGCGCTCAGGAGGTGCGTACATGGGAGGACGTCCTCCCAGAACAGGAGAGCCGCGTTATAGCCATCTTTCAGATATTGCACGGTCAAGAAGTGAATAAAGTGGAAAAAAGGAACTATATCTATTCCTAGGAATGTTCCCTCTCCCTTCCTCCTACCTAACCTGTATAAAATATTTGTATACTTATGTGTTATCTGCTCTGGCCCAGTCACGTGATCCTGCAGCTTTGTGTAAGGGAACGCTCAACAGCGGCTCTGAATTCCGGGAGCCACGGCATCACCCACAGCTTAGCCATTGCTCCCTCCTCTTCTTTGCAGCATAAATGGACCATAAGAGCTGCTGTATATTAAAATATTACCCCAGTAACAATAACAGTTCCACTGACACACTAACCCTACTTGCAAATACTAAGATATAATGTTAAATATTATCCTGAATACAGGACTTACTAATTTAATTACAACTTAAAGTGGAACTCCAAAAAGAGAATGCATGCATAGTAGGAATCCGGTTGTGAAGCTGAAAGGCTTCACTGCCGGTTTCCCTTAGTGAAGATGCCGGCATCTCCAAAGTCAATTAAGGAAGTTGGCTCGGATGCAGACATCTCCGGACATCTGGACAGTATTTGTAGCTGCTGAATTTGATTTATTATTTTTTTTGAGACCGATACTTTGCTTTTAAGTATTATGTACACCAAAAACTTTTTTCTAGCTTTAGACAGATTTTCCTTTACTTTCAGTCTAGATGACAAAGCTTACAAAGCTTTTATCAGGCAGGAAATGTGGAAAATTGTGCAACAGGGACAAAAAAAAAAAAAATACAAATCCCATAGGTTCTAGCCTCTCTATACTTACTGTTTTTATTTCTGCTTCTGTTGCCATTGGAGAGTTTCTCACACTTACTATCTGGTAAACACTATCAGCAGTATAGGAAATGAGGGGAATCCCTTTAGTAGAGGCCTAGACAACTTTAAAAATCAGACAGGGGTTCTAGCCTGTTACAACTCTATCCAAAATTAAGAAAAACATGTTGGCTTAACATACACTTTACAGTGCCTTGAAAAATTATTGAAATTTTCCACATTTTGTCATGTTACAACCAAAAACATAAATGTATTTTATTGTGATTTTATGTAATAGACCAACACAAAGTGGCACATAATTGTGAAGTGGAAGGAGAATGATAAATAGTTTTCAACATTTTTTACAAATTTATTTAAAAATAAAATGTTAAAAGTGTGGCGTGCATTTGTATTCAGCCCCCAAGTCACTATATTGTAGAACCACCTTTCATGGCAATTACAGCTGCAAGTCTTTTTGGGAATGTCTCTACCTACCACATCTAGAGAGTGACATGCTTACCCATTCTTCTTTGCAAAATAGCTCTGTCAGATTGGATGGAGAGCGTCTGTGAACAGCACTTTTAAAGACTTGCCACAGATTCTCAATTGGATTTAGGTCTGGACTTTGACTGGACCATTCTAACACATGAATATGTGATCTAAATAATTCCATTGCAGCTCTGGCTGTATGTTCAGGGTCGTTTTCCTGCTGGAAGGTGAACCTCCGCCCCAGCCTCAAGTCTTTTGCAGAATCTAACATGTTTTCTTCTAAGATTGTCCTGTATTTGGCTCCTTCCATCTTCCCATCAACTCTTACCAGCTTCCCAGTCCCTGCTGAAGTAAAGCATCCCCACATCATGATGTTGCCACCACCATGTTTCAGTGGGGATGGTGTGTTCAGGGTGATGTGCAGTGTATGATTCCGCTACACATAGCATTTTGTTTTTAGGCCAAAAAGTTAAATTTTGGTCTCATCTGACCTTCCACATGTTTGCTGTGTCCCCGTTACATGGCTTCTGGCAAACTGCAAATGGGATTTCTTATGGCTTTCTTTCAACAATGGCTTTCTTCTTGCCATTCTTCCATAAAGGCCAGATTTGTGGAGTGCACAACTAATAGTTGTCTTGTGGACAGATTCTCTCACCTGAGCAGTGGATCTATGCAGCTCCTCCAGAGTTACCATGGGCCTCTTGGCTGCTTCTCTGATTAATGCTCTTTTTGCCTGGCCTGTCAGTTTAGGTGGACAGCCAGATCTTGGTAGGTTTGCAATTGTGCCATATTCTATTTGCCATACTCTATTTTCGGATAATGGATTGAACAGTGCTCCATGAGATGCTCAAAGCTTGGGATTTTTTTTTTTATAACCTAACCCCGCTTTAAACTTCTCCACAACTTTATCCCGTACCCGTCTGGAGTGTTCCTTGGCCTTCATGATACTGTTTGTTCAATAACGTTCTCTGACAAACCTCTGAGGGCTTCGTAGAACAGCTGTATTTATACTGAGATTACATTACACACAGGTGGACTCTATTTACTAATTAAGTGACTTCTGAAGGCAACTAGATTTTAGTTAGGGGTATCAGAGTAAAGGGGGCTGAATACAAATGCACGCCACACTTTTCAGATATTTATTTGTAAAAAAAAAAGTTAAAAACCATTTATCATTTTCCTTCCAATTTACAATTATGTGCCACTTTGTGTTGGTCTATCACAGAAAATCCCAATAAAATACATTTACGTTTCTGGTTGTAACATGACAAAATGTGGAAAATTTCAAGGGGTATGAATACTCTTTCAAAGCACTGTACTATTTAAGATGGGGTGCAGGTCAAAAAATGTCCATGGTTTTAACATCCCCACGGTAATAAAGAAGCTTTTTGACAGACAGTATCTGATGTCTTATCTTGTCATTGTATCTGATGTTATTACTACGAGTTTTATATAGCGCCAAAGGGTTTGCTCAGCGCTGTACAATCAATAATCACAGTACAACATCCATATTGTTATCAATGGAAAAGTGTGTGCCTAGACTTCTTAGCACACAAATGCATTGGGAACACTACACATTCTATTCCAAATCAAAACATGAAGAAAAATATCAAATTTGTGTTGTTCCTCTAAAAAAAATTGAAGAAAAGTGAATATTAGACTGTTCAAACAAACAGCAGTGTTTGTGTTCTTCTTTACAAACTCAAACATTCACTATATAAACTGAAAAATGTTTGAAGATTTTGCTTTCCTTTGAATCACTTAATGAATATTTAGTTGTATAAGCACTGTTTCTGAGAACTGCTGTACATCTGTGTTGCATGGAGTCAACCAACTTCTGGCACCTGTGAACAGGTATTCCAGCCCAGAATGATTGGACTACATTCCACAGTTCTTCTCTATTTCTTGGTTTTGCCTCATAAACTGCATTTTTGATGTCACCCCACAAGTTTTCTATTGGATTAAGATCCGGGGATTGGACTGGCCACTCTATAACGTCAATCTTGTTGGTCTGGAACCAAGATGTTGCACGTTTACTGGTGTGTTTGGCGTTGTTGTCTTGTTGGAACACCCATTTCAAGGGCATTGCCTCTTCAGCATAAGGCAGCATGACCTCTTCTAGTATTCTGATGTATTCAAACTGATCCATGATCCCTGGTATGCGATAAATAGGCCCAACACCGTAGTATGAGAAACATCCCCATATCATGATGCTTGCGCAACCATGCTTCACTGTCTTCACAGTGTACTGTGGCTTGAATACAGTGTTTGGGGGTCGTCTGACAAACTGTCTCCGGCCACTAGACCCAAAAAGAACAATCTTACTTTCATCAGTCAACAAAATGTTGCGCCATTTCTCTTTAGGCCAGTCAATGTGCTCTTTGGCAAATTGTAACCTATTCAGCACGTCTTTTTTTCAACAGTGGGACTTTGCGGGGGCTTCTTGCAGATAGCTTGGCTTCACATAGGCGTCTTCTAATTGTAACAATACTCACAGGTAACTTTAGACCTTCTTTGATCTTCCTGGAGCTGATTGTTGGCTGAGTCCTTGCCATTTTGGCTATTCTATCCATTCGAATGGTAGTTCTTCGCTTTCTTCCACGTCTTTCAGGTTTTGGTTGCCATTTTAAAGCATTTGCGATCATTTTAGCTGAGCAGCCTATCATTTTCTGCACTTCTTTAAATGGGCCTATTTATCGCATACCAGGGATCATGGATCAGTTTGAATACATCAGAATACTTGAAGAGGTCATGCTGCCTTCTGCTGAAGAGGAAATGCCCTTAAAATGGGTGTTCCAAAAAGACAATGACCCCAAACACACCAATTAACGTGCAACAT